CATGTATGCTTTTATAATAAATTGCCTATCTATCTATCTATCTATCTATCTATCTATCTATCTATCTATCTATCTATCTATCTATCTATCTATCTATCTATCTATCTATCTATCTATCTATCTATCTATCTATCGTAATAATGTATGATTTGCAAAAATGAAAACTGCTGCTTAGATGAGAGAATCAAAGTGTATGCGCGTTGTGCACACGCTACATTGATTATGGCCAAGCATGCGCCCTTAAAATAGCATAATGAACAACGCGCAACGCGCCACTGACTTTAGACTATTTTTTTCTGGTCAGTGGCGCATTCGTTACATAGAACAGCAAAATAGCATGAGGGAAAGTTTGCGCCGGAACACGCCTCCTTTTTGCGCTGAACCGCCCCGGGGAGCGCAAGTGTATTTCTTAGTTAACCGACGTGTGTCTGTGGAGGGAAAAGCCCGCTTTGCGTGGGTGCAAAATAGGAATGATACATGCGTCAGTGTACAAAGTCATTTGCGCCGAGTGCAAGATAGGGCCCCAGATCTGTTTTGTCTAAAACTAATTGTCTTTCTTTGTACATTGACAATACTGCAATCGGTCCTTCTTCACAGGTTAAAAGTTTGGGTGTCATCATGGATAGCACACTATCCTTTGAAGCTCAAATGAATAATATCACGCGGATTGGATACTTCCACTTGCGTAATATTAACCGTCTCCGTCCCTTTCTTTCAAATAATAATACTGCAGTTCTTATTCACGCACTGGTCACTTCACGTATAGACTATTGTAATGCTCTTCTCACAGGTGTTCCCTCCAAATTGCTACATAAGCTTGGTTCAGAATTCTGCAGCTCGTGTTCTATCTAGAACACCTTATACTGAGCACATTTCGCCAGTTCTTCAGCAATTGCACTGGCTTCCAGTAAAGTATAGTATTCAAGATCCTGCTACTTACTTATAAGGCACTCCATAATCTTGCACCCTATTACCTTTCACAACTTCTCCATGTTTACACTCCTTCACGGGCTCTCAGATCTTCATCTTCAATTTCTCTTGTGGTACCTCGGATTCGACTTACTACCATGGGTGCCAGATCTTTTAGTTATGCTGCCCCCCGCCTATGGAACTCTCTTCCCCTTGATGTTCGCAATAGTGACTGCTTGTTGACTTTTAAAACGCGTCTTAAGACATATCTTTTTCTACAAGCTTTTTTTATAACATGTTGTATTGAGTTTTTAATGCACCTTATTTGTGTGTGGCTTGTTTGTTGTGTGTATGGTCTTATGCAGTGACCTGTTTATTGCTTGTGAGGTGACCTTGTGTGTTATGAAAGGCACCATTAAATAAAATGCATTATTATTATTATTATATGTTTTTGTGCTAACGTTTTGGGAACATTATTAAAGACCTGATAATTTGAACAAATGCTCTATTAATGTTACCGGAAAAACGTTTATTCATAACTTCTGAGAACATTCCCTGTTAGCTGGCTTGTTAGTTAGCCTAAGTCTGCATCTGTGACAGATTGAAGCTGATTTCTCCCTAATCCTGGATACACACAATACTTCATTGTGATCCTACGATATCCTACGGTTTTTCAAGCTTCATAATTTTCTTGATCGGCTCGGGCCGCAGTATCAGCACTCCTTGTGGAAGCTGCTGACTTCACATGAAAATCAGCATAAATATGACTTCTTAATGAGAGCAGGGAATGGTTTCAGCTTTCCGCAGATACACAACTCTCCATAAATCCTTTCCTGTTACCCAAGATGCTCTGCATGTGGTACAACTAAACTCCTGAAGTCCGTCGTAAGATTAAGATGTAGACGTTGTTCATGAGACAATGTGTGTGGTTCTTTAGAGCGTGTCCAAAGGGATTCTGAATGCCTGCACCGATTATAGATGTTTTATTGACGGTGTCGATGTGTTTCTTGAGCATGGTCTCTTGAGGACTTGAAATCGTCTGGCGCGAGTCGTCTAAAACAGAGTGGATTTCTCTAAAAGGAACAGAATTTATATTTAGAAACTGCTAAATCTTTAATCTCATGCCGCAGCAGCTCCGTTATTCATTTTTAACAGGTTTTCTGAGGAACAGAGAGTGTGCGTGTGTTTGTTTTTGAGTAATGACTTTTTCCATTTGAATGTGTGTGCAAACTTTGACTAAAGGCACTTTCACACCAAAAGCGATAACTATAACGATAACTTTATTGTTATAGTTATTGTTCATGGTTTGAACGGGCCTAATGCTGTATGATTATGATTTGCAACATCACCTCAATTTCATCCCAGCTGACAATTTTTGGTTCCTAATTCGTGGTTATTAACTTTAAACTAAAGACAACATTTTTAGAACATTAGGAATTGGTAACCAAACGGGAACCATACGCTACCGTTAGGGGGATGTTCTGATACTTCTGCACCACATTTAAACTATACTGTACCATACTACACTCTAAATGACTATACTTCACTATACAGGTCCTTCTCAAAAAATTTGCATATTGTGATAAAGTTCATTATTTTCCATAATGTAATGATAAAAATTAAACTTTCATATATTTTAGATTCATTGCACACCAACTGAAATATTTCAGGTCTTTTATTGTTTTAATACTGATGATTTTGGCATACAGCTCTTGAAAACCCAAAATTCCTATCTCAAAAAATTAGCATATCATGAAAAGGGTCTCTAAACGAGCTATTAATCTAATAATCTGAATCAACTAATTAACTCTAAACACCTGCAAAAGATTCCTGAGGCTTTTAAAAACTCCCAGCCTGTTTCATTACTCAAAACCGCCATCATGGGTAAGACTGCTGACCTGACTGCTGTCCAGAAGGCCATCATTGACACCCTCAAGCAAGAGGGTAAGACACAGAAAGAAATTTCTGAACAAATAGGCAGTTCCCAGAGTGCTGTATCAAGGCACCTCAGTGGGAAGTCTGTGGGAAGGAAAAAGTGTGGCAAAAAACGCTGCACAACGAGAAGAGGTGACCGGACCCTGAGGAAGATTGTGGAGAAGGACCAATTCCAGACCTTGGGGGACCTGCGGAAGCAGTGGACTGAGTCTGGAGTAGAAACATCCAGAGCCACCGTGCACAGGCCTGTGCAGGAAATGGGCTACAGGTGCCGCATTCCCCAGGTCAAGCCACTTTTGAACCAGAAACAGCGGCAGAAGCGCCTGACCTGGGCTACAGAGAAGCAGCACTGGACTGTTGCTCAGTTTTGCATGTCATTCGGAAATCAAGGTGCCAGAGTCTGGAGGAAGAATGGGGAGAAGGAAATGCCAAAATGCCTGAAGTCCAGTGTCAAGTAACCACAGTCAGTGATGGTCTGGGGTACCATGTCAGCTGCTGGTGTTGGTGCACTGTGTTTTATCAAGGGCAGGGTCAATGCAGCTAGCTATCAGGAGATTTTGGAGCACTTCATGCTTCCATCTGCTGAAAAGCTTTATGGAGATGAAGATTTCATTTTTCAGCACGACCTGGCACCTGCTCACAGTGCCAAAACCACTGGTAAATGGTTTACTGACCATGGTATTACTGTGCTCAATTGGCCTGCCAACTCTCCTGACCTGAACCCCATAGAGAATCTGTGGGATATTGTGAAGAGAAAGTTGAGAGACGCAAGACGCAACACTCTAGAGGAGCTTAAGGCCGCTATCGAAGCATCCTGGGCCTCCATAACACCTCAGCAGTGCCACAGGCTGATTGCCTCCATGCCACGCCGCATTGAAGGAGTCATTTCTGCAAAAGGATTATGCACTCAACACTCAAAAGTATTGAGTGCATAACTGAACATAATTATTTGAAGGTTGACTTTTTTTGTATTAAAAACACTTCTTTTATTGGTCGGATGAAATATGCTAATTTTTTGAGATAGGAATTTTGGGTTTTCATGAGCTGTATGCCAAAATCATCAGTATTAAAACAATAAAAGACCTGAAATATCTCAGTTGGTGTGCAATGAATCTAAAATATATGAAAGTTTAATTTTTATCATTACATTATGGAAAATAATGAACTTTATCACAATATGCTAATTTTTTTAGAAGGACCTGTACTCTAATGTGTTCTATAGTGCTGAACTGTACAATCAATTGGGAAACAGAAGCACAAACAGCCCTGAAATGCAGATCTGGGCACCTTTGAGAGTTTGGCTGACCCTGTAGAGGTGGATGGAATATCTCGGATCGCTCATCTAGTCTCAGGATAGAGGATTCAGGTGCATTAGAGGTCAATATTAGGTCGATAACTGGACATGAGCCACAGTGCTGTTTGGGTAGCTCAGATCCACACCATGTGCTGACATCACAGTGTGAAGAGATGAAATCTGATCCAGGCCACTTTAGCTGCTGGAAATCATGCAAACGCACAGCTTTACAACAGGGGTATGCATATATATGTATAATGTTTAGGTGTATATTTGAGACAAACACTTATCAAAATCAATATTATCAATATACACAGTTGCCTGCATGCTGGAGTGGTTAGTCACTGGGTACAGTGAAAAGTAAAGAGGAATTAAAATGCTCATTAATTCACAACGTTTCCATCGCTGGTATCATTTTCAGATGTTAAAGGGATGTTAATCTGTTTGTCGGACTAACTAACTTTTTGTATTTTTTATTGTAAAATTTATTTATTTACGTACATTTAAAGTTTTTCCAAATAATGAACTATTTTAATTGTAAAATATTTTAACTCATTTATATAATTTATTAAATAAAAAAGTGTTTAAAAGATAAACACTTCACTTTTTTTTTCATTTCATAATGTGTTTATTATTTTTTAAATAAATCACACTTAAAAATTGTTTGTCCAATCAATTAAATATTTCATTTATTTAAAGATAATAATAATACTATTTTAATAAACACTTCACATTTAAAGTTTGTCCAACTAAATATTTAATGGTGAAACATTTATTTATTAAAATAAATAAATAATAATACTTCAAATTTAACGTTGAAACCATCTTCATTTGAACTAACTTTTTCTCATTTCTTTTGCAGCTGTTTCTATAATGCGGCATAGTGCATCAGCCTTTGGGTTTGCTGTAAGTCTGACACTTGATATATTTAAATGTTCATTATTTAATAGTCTTTAATGTTTTAACGCTTCTCTTTACCACTGTTGTTCATTCGTTTGCAGTTTGACGCTACTCTTGACGTCCTGTCCTCCATTATCGTGATTTGGCGATACAGTAACGCCGCGGCCGTCCATTCAGCGCACAGAGAATACATGTGAGTACATGTGATCCTTCCTTGATTAAAGAAAACATGGGGAATGGGACGTGACCGCATGGAACGGGCCATAGGCTGCGTCCGAAATCGCATACTGTCTTATTTTGAATAAGTAATTACTTTACGTTCTAGTATGAATGTGTGTAGTATGAATGTAATCTGGACGTACTACATTCGCCATGCTGTCATTATCATGTGACCTTCCAGCATCAGTTGCGTCGCTTCACTGCCATTCAAAAATCCTCTCCCGTGTTCTCATGGGATAGTAAAGTGTCCATCGTATGCACACTTCAGAATCTCGCTGGAAGATGAAGGTCATCCGGGTACTTGAGTGCTGTGAATTCGGACTTACTTCTTTTGACAAATACTGTTTTTGTCTACTATAGTAGGGAAGTATGTGATTTCTGATGCAGCCATTGTTTGTGCTCTGTGGGGATTCTGGGTAGTTTAAGTAGCCAATTAGATGTTGTTTCTGGGCAACATGGAGAGCAGAAGGTCAGATTGATCTTTCAAGGTAATGATGTTGAGATTTTGACATGTTCCTCGGCTGAAGGAGAACATGCTGGGTGAACGAGCACGCTACAAATGACCTAACCAAGTCATTAAAACTACCATTTAATGAATCTGTTCAGATTCGCTGATCCTTGTAAACAAACCTAGCATAATTTACCTCAGCAGGATAAAGCAGGTTGACGTTTCCTAAAGACCACCAGGTTTGATGGATGGAGGCCAGGCAGACAGACTCTCTGGTCCCCCGTGAAGTGGCCCTGCGCTGGGTTTCATGTCTTTAGACAGTCTCTCTCTGTGTTCGGCGTCCCTTATCGGGTGAAAGACACAATAGAGATGGCAGAAGGGCTTTGTGAAAGGGAATTAAAGCAGAGGAAGCGGAGAAAGAGAGGACAAAGGCAGAAGTGTGCTAGACAGCAGCACACTCAGACTTGTAGCATACGTACAGTACACACACACACACACACACACACACACACACACACACACACACGTAATGAATCCATTTCTAATGTGCAGGCCGGTGAAGCTGTGAGCTCCGGTCCCTAGGGGACTCTGCCGGGATGCGGATCGCCGTGGAGACGGATTACATCATAACGCAGGCTGCATTAGCGAGATGACATATCTACTAGACTACTAGACTCTTACACTGTTAAACACTAGGCTCTTACTGTTTGAGAATAGTGACTTACAAATAGATCTCTGCATTTTGAAGAACATATTAGTGGTGCTTACTGGTGTAAAAAAAACAGTACCAAGGTGATGCTATGCAGTTGCTAAGGTGTTCCGAGTTGTTGCTAGGTGGTTGTTAGTTTGTTATGAGTGGTTGTTAGGGAGATGCTATGGGATGACTAAAGTGTTCTGAGTGGTTGCTAGACTAATGCTAGGTGGATGTTATTGTGTTCTGCATGGTTTCTAGGCAATGCTAAGTGATTGCTAGGGTGTTTTTGGTGGTTCTTTGGGAGTTGCTATGTGGACACAAAGGTGTTCTGATTAGTATTTAGGGCGTTGCTAGGTAGATGTTAATGTGTTCTGTGTGGATGCAAGATCAATGCTAGAGTGGTTGTTAGGGAGTTGCTATGGGATTACTGAAGTGTTCTGTGTGGTTGCTAGAGTGTTGCTTGCTGGATGTTATTGGGTTCTGCATGGTTTCTAGGGTATTGCTAAGTGATTGCTGGGGTGTTTTGGGTGGTTCTTTGGGAGTTGCTATGTGGTCACTAAGGTGTTCTGATTGGTTGCAAGGGCAGATGTTAATGTGTTCTGTGTGGATGCAAGGACAATGCTAAAGTGGTTCCTAAGGTGTTTTGAGTGAATTGAAGGTGTTCTAAGTGGTTGCTAGGGAGTTGGTATGGAGTTACTAAAGTGTTTTGAGCTGTTGCTAGAGTGTTTCTAAGTGGTTGTTAGTGTGTTTCTACTGTGTTCTGAGTGATTGCTAGGGTGTTTCTAGGTAGAATGAATGTGTTCTGTGTGGATGCAAGTTCAATGCTAGAGTGGTTGCTAGGGAGTTGCTTTGGGATTAATAAAGTGTTCTCAGCAGTTGCTAGAGTGTTGCTATGTGGTTGTTAGTGTTTTTCTATGTGGTTACTAAGGTGTTCTGAGTGATTACTAGGACAATGCTAGGGAGTTGCTATGTGGTTTCTAAAGTGTTCTGAGTGGTTGCTAAAGTGTTGCTAGGTGGTTGCTATGGAGTTGCAGTTACTAAGGGCGTTTTCACACCTATACACCGCTAGCTCTCTCTGGATCTCCCAGCGCTGTCTAGAGGTTAACAGTGTCAAGACACACACAAACACTATATAAATGTTATAATGCAGCTAGAGCAGGAATCAAGGCTTCATCGGGACAGCATTCTCGCACGGAAAAGCGCAATTACACAACATTTTAAGATGAAGAGGTGCTCTTTTGGTTTTCAACTGTGATAACTAATGTGCTCACTCACATTCAGACCGCCCCAGAGTGCGTTTGCAATCGGGCCGAGACCACCTCGTTCAGGCCGTCTCGGAGCGATTGGTTTGGTGCAGATCCAAACGCGATTGCTATGTTATGCCTAAAAGAAAACGCTTTCGTTACGTTTCTAATAAAATGCAAGTTCTCAGCTTTTTAGATTGCACTTTTATTGAATTTCTATTTTTATGTATGTATTGATAAAAATATTTAGAACACACTTAATATTAAATTCAGTCGGCTGTCGAAACAAACATGATCCACCTAGCACACAAGCATCTCTACAGCATCAGTGGGGGGTTCCTCCTTGGCCTGATTGCTAGATAAACTAGATTAAATTAATCTGCTTGTCTTAATTTCATTTAAATTTGATCTCCAGAGATTGTAGCTGCGTGTGTTTGTTTGTTTGTTTGGTTTGACTAATTAATCACTAACCAAAAAGCAGATTTAACAGACTAAGCTCGCAAAGCCATTACGATCCGCGTGTGAGAAACAGAGCAGAACGGCACTAAAACTTCACCAGATTTAACCCAGCTACCCCTGCGGCTGAGTAAATAGTGGAACAGATCTCGCCTATTAACCAGACTCAATTAGAGAACGACAGCCCTCGTCGTCTTCATTTATAAACAGAGGGCTTGACAGGCCTAATGAGAACGAGGCACTAAAGCGAGCAGAAGCTTCAGTCGTGTTATTAACTGACTCAGACACAGGAGAGGAGTTAGACCGTGAACTCAATAAAGCATCAGTTGAACTGATGCTGTGGGTTACTCAACGTACCTGTGTGTGTGTGTGTGTGTGTGTGTGTGTGTGTGTG